CAGCTGTCCTGGACACAGAATTGACCTGCACCTCCATGGACAGCTGTGAGTCCAAAATGACTCCCAGGCTCTGCACCAGCTCCTTCAGGGTCACATTCACCCCATTCAGGACCAGGGAGTCCTCCACACCAGCCCTCCCCCTGTCCCCTAAAAACAGTTCTTCTGTCTTGTTAGGATTCAGTCTCAATCTGTTAGCCACCATCCATCCTCCAACGACCTCCAGACACTCACAGAGGACATTCACTGCCTTCACTGGTTCCGGTTTAAAAGAGAGGTAGAGCTGGGTATCATCCGCATACTGATGGACACCCAGCCCAAACCCCTTGATGATCTCTCCCAGCAGCTTCATATAGATGTTAAAAAGCATGGGGGAGAGGACGGAACCCTAAGGCACCCCACAAGTGAGAGCCCAGGATTCTGAACACTCATCCCCCAACACCACATTCTGGACACAGTCCAGGAGGAAGGAGCGGAACCACTGTATAACAATGCCCCAGCTCCCAGCCCCTCTAGATGGTCCAGAAGCCATCAAAACTAGGAAACAGCTTTCACCTTTGTCCCTAGCCCGCCGGATCATTGACCAGCATGACCAAGACAGTTTCAGCCCAATGATGAGGCCTGAATCATGATCTGCATCCTCCAGGCATGCCTGGAGTTGTTCAAAACCACCTGCTCAATCACCTTGAAACAGATTTGAAACAGAAAGAAAGAAAGAAAGAAAGAAAGAAAGAAAGAAAGAAAGAAAGAAAAGCTCCCAAGTTAGAGCAGGAAGGGTTCACTTCTGTCTGTTTTCTCTAGTTAAGATTTAAGCTTTGTATGGTTTTCTCTCTCTTCCTATTTCTTGCTTTTGTTTTATTTTCTAGAGTGTGTCTTGAACTCATCACTGCCTCTGCGAAGAGATGTATGTTTGGTAGTATACGTAGTGTACGTAGAAGCCTATACTTTTTAAATAGGAGGATAAATATCCCTTAAATATGGAAATATCTATTAAAATGTAAAGGGTCCATTAAAGATAATACCTAGCTCCCTATCCCAAACCAATTCTTAAAATAAGTAATTTATTTATTTATTGGAGGAGACGAAAGATAAAGCATATAATAGGAATCCAACAAAATTAGAACTGGAATATAATGTAGTTTTCAAAAAGCTTCAGGAAATAATAAAACATCCTGTGGGATTTTAGGAATGTTAAAGTTGGGATGTAGTTAGATTTCTTCAAAGCATTTGAAAATTTTGAGTCAAAATATCAAATGTCACAGTGCTGTTTCTCACCTGATTAAATACTTTATGCCACACAATTTTATCATCATTTAAGCTTAACTCTTTTCCTAAAGGTGCCTGAGGGTCCAGTCTTCCAACTTTGACCCTAAACAATGATCCATTCGGGGAAATAATCCAGTTTGTTACATCAAAACCTGTAACTAACTCTCCATTATAATCAAAACACACTGAATCCCCAACACTATTGTTGAACATCATGGTTCTTAGAAAATGATGAACCTAGATGGAAAGAAAGTATCAGCAAAAAGAGGACTGTTTCAAAACACTTCAACAATGTATGTGGTGACTTCATCCATTGGACAATCTTGTTTTGCTCTTGAATTGGAAACCTTATATGATTATTTGATATTTCAAATGATCATTACTTTCCATAAGCTCTAAGGTGGTGGGTGATTTTGAATTGAAATAACAATATTTTATCATGGGACCACTAATATTTATCAAAATGGATTTCCAAAAGGGAAAAAAACACTGAAAGGAAATGAAAACCACCACAGAAAGAGGAATTGTATCATGCAGACTTAGATTTCCCTATGTTTCTTGATGAAAACATAGACTTTTTAAAAATGTTCAGTTGTAATTACCTGCCATGGTTGCACATTCTGAAAAAACAGTTCCTGTTGTTCTCCCAGGTTCCTACCTTTGGAACTGGATTTGTAAACAGCTTGCAAAGCATGAGCCACAGCATAGACAGCATTGTAGACATTGTAGCTGTGGCCAGTCATTTCCATTTCAAACAAGGTCCCAGGAAGACTCTCTAGCTTCTCTTCTCCGGAGCAGTATTTAATTTCCTGATGCTGCCCATTAGACATTTCTAATGAACAACTGAAGGCCTGTTCCCAAAAGTCCTGGATAAAACCGTCTCCTTGGGACCATGAAGGTCTTAGCATCTGAAGGAAATGTTGGAATCCCAATGGCTGATTTGAATGAACCGTGATGGATATGGAACCATGGAAGGCTTGTAAATCCCAAATCTTCTGAATAGAGTGTGATGCAAAATCCCAGTGGGATGTAATAATCCACACTTTACCTAGAGTGGGCAAGTCCGCCAAGGGTGCTGCAAACAACATCATTATTAGAACTTGAAAGGATGAAGGTTCCCCATATGCATAGAATACATTGGCTTTTTTTTCAAACACAATGAGATAGGCATCCAAGTGTTTTAAAAACCAGTCTAGCATCTCATCCATATAACTCCATTTTGGAATGTTTACTATGAAGTCATAACAGATGCCATTCTGTGTAAGCATTGGCACTATTGTCTGTAAAAACCTGTTCCCTTTGTCATCATCCGCGGCAAAAAGCCCAACCCAGGTCCATCTGAAATGCTGTAGTAACTGCACAATTCCTTTGTGCTGCTGGGCTTCATTGGGGACCATCTGGTACAAGAATGGGAATAGAATTTCTGCACTTTGTAAAGGTAAAAATGATCCATAAGTGAGCTGTAATAAAATCCATGAATATTTCTCAGACAGATTACAAGAAAATAGTAAATCATTACTTTGGAGTTGGTCCTGTAGGTCATCTAGTTCTATATCCTTTTGAAAACACGAATCACAGTTTCTGCAACAAATAGCTGTTTCATTTGTTTTATAATTGAAGAACGTTTAGTCCGAATTTTGAACCCTAAACAAGTACTACATTTGCAGCAATAGAAGCTTTGTCCTCTTCGATGTGGCAACTGCTTAAGTCTTTGAAGTGTGTTGTAATGTTGCACCTTGGACTCAATTTCAAGAGACTGAACGTACCAATTTCTTTCAACCTTTCCTTATATGATATGTTTTCCATACCCCAATGTCTCTATGAAGGCCATGTCCCATACTGACCCTGTTCAAGCTGCCTGTCTAAATAGTGTATTTGTACCGTGATGATGCCTAAGCCTGTTAGAGGTGGAAATAGTTGTGTGTTCTCTGGGTGTAAAAACTGCTTGCTCTTGTGTTTCTGGAATATAATGGAATGTTCAAAGGTAAGAGTCACATCTCTTGATCCCTGCAATCTTTTGCCTCTGTTCCCGCACCCCTGACATTAATCCCTAGAAGTTTCCATAAAGTGAAAAAGTGTTCCTGCCCACCCCCTGCCCATGATCCAAAAGACTGCAGACACATTTTCCTTTAATCATGATCGTGTACCACTATTGTAAAAATAAATCCATACCCCTATGCACACAGTTTACCTGTGGTGTCTTGTGGATTGCTGAAATGATGGCCACGTTGGCAGAGATTTCAGAGATGCATCCTCCAACAACAGCTATCAAATTGTTCTGATTCTGACACTTGAAGTTAGGATAAAATCTTTGCTGTTTAGAAAGCAGACTTAGAGTGGCCTTATACGTCATCCTAGCAGTGTAGTAGCTATTAAGAATGTGGATTCCCAGAGAAATGTTTGGTAAGATGTTGGGGTTTTCATTTATCTCTTTTACAGCAAAGGCTAAGGCCAGGATGTGCTGGTAGTTCTTGGGCACTGAACTGTAATGTAAGTTACAGCTATTTCATAAATCAACAGTGACAGAAGCAATAAAAGCACATTTGAATTATTCATTTGTCATCTGTATCTGTTCAAGACTACAGTGAAGAAAACATACCTCAAAGTATAATGGGGGTGGGGGAATATCTCAAGTGAAGAACTAAATGCTCAAAATGTTTTGGGGTCATGCTTTTTATTAATAAACTGAGGAAAAGGGGGAAAGGACATGGTGTCTTACATAGGTTCTCCAATCATATTCTGTGTAGGCTGTTCCAGGAAAGAAAGTACATTATACAAGAAGAAAACTTGAGAAACAATCCCACCAATCACAAGGTCCCCTGCCTGGTAGAATTCATGAGGAATAGGAAGAGGATCATCACGTATGCTGCAATTAATGAAATGTGACTTGCATACAGTATGACACAACAGTATAAGCAGCAACACCATCACTGTCATGATCCTGTTGGCAAAATGACCCCACCAAATCTCAGTTCGCATAGTACCCTCTATATGTTGCATTGCATTTGCTACAGCGTCAGTCAAATCGTAGATAATCCTCTGGTTGCACTGATTTACAGCTTGGCTCGTTATGGAATTTGGGTGCCAATACCCTTGTGTTCTAGTTCAGGGCTTCTCAAATTGTTGTTTGTGGACCACCAGTGGTCTGCTTGCTTAGTTCAGGCTGTCCACAGCATGTCTGTAAAGAGCAATTAGAATTCTATAGAATTCATGCTGTAATGCAATAAAATACAGGATTCAAAATAAAAGAAGCAATAGCATACCATTTAAAATTACACAGCCTGCAAAGTGGTCAGCAAAGAACCTCAACAATTTTTATGTTCTCCATGGCAGGACCACTGTCCTATTTAATATTGTTTATATGTTCTCTGTGTGAGCTGGATAAATTAGTGGAATGTGACTCCCACTGATATCAGTGGGTCTCATATAGTCTAGATCCAAGTCTTTATCTTCTCACTTTATTTTGTATGGTTGTTTTGTTTTTGTTTTTAGAAAAAAAGAATAAATCAGCTTGTGGAAATATATCCACTTATATCCATATAAGTAAGAGATTTTTAACAGAAGAGTGACAGAGCCCTGCCTCTACCTAGATCTAATTCTGAAGAATACAAGTGTTTTATAGCTTTTCTTCAGACACTTGCTAACATGCACTGAATGTCAATTGCATAAACCAGTAATTTTGACAGGTATGATTATCATTCCCCAGTGTGTTATTGATGTGATGTTCTATCATGAACAACAAAACTGATAGAATATTTCCTCCCCATTCTTCTTTTTTGCATCATACATATTATTATTATTATTATTATTATTATTATTATTATTATTATTATTTTGCTTGAGGGATAATAAGTAGGGATAATAAGTAGCTAGTCTTGTACAGCTGGTAGATCCATATCTGACCAGTACTAGGTTCAGCTTCATACATGGGTCATTTATATTTGGGATAACTGGAAAGCCATGTCTGGGGAAAGGGAGAGTCACAACTTGTTGTCTTGATAGATATAGTTCTCTCAACAGATCATTCCCAAATATTGTTTGCCCCATTTAATTTTACTGATAGTTAATTTAATTAGTAAGATTCTTTACCAATGCAGTACTTAAAATGTTCATAATTTTAGCATAATGCCGGTTGGTGGTATCTGTTTCCTGGCCGAAGTGGCTGGGAGCAGGTTGCGTAATATGAATTTCAGGGCCCTGCAAAAATATGTTTCATGTCTTTTGACTCAGGCTAGTGACGAGCAGAGGCTCTGCTACATTTTAAGCCAAGCTCGTTTATCATCTTTGCTGCCTATGATCCTTTGTTCTGCTCCCTGCGGGCAGGGAAGGTCCACAGAAGTTATATTACAGGAATTTAATTTTGAAGTTGCCAATGCATAGATCACAGTATCTAGGCTACTGGAATAGTTATATCCAGTTGGCCCGATGAAGAAGTTTTAAGGTGCTCCTTGCTGCTTACATCACTTGGGCTTTCCATTACAGAGATGGATCCACAACACCCCCAGACTTTGTACTTGTTCCTTCAGAAGGAGTACAACCCCCTCAGAAGAGGTAAATCTCCCAATCTCTAAACTTGGGAACTGATAAACCACTGTGCCTCTGCCCTTCCAGGATTTAACTTCTGATATTTGGCCTTCAGTCAGCCCACCACTGCAGCCAGATACCTTTTTGGGGTCTGACTGGCAACTGCTGACTCTGATGTAACAGTGGAATAGAGCTGAGTTCCAGCAACACACTGATGACTCCTTTCCACATACGCCTTCTCCCTCTCAACCTTACTTAGCACCCCCTAATTGGTGGAAGCTTACAAAACTGGCACTGGATATTTGTAAAGTATTCGTGTAACCACCCACCCCCACCCAGAATTTTAGACTATAGTTCTGTGCTCTAGCATATAGCCAACATACGAATGACAACAGCGTTTGTTGCTGTTCCCTTGCCTCACCACTGGGAGAAGGTGAAAACCCAGACCTGTTGAGTTCTCTCCTCACAGATCAACTTGTTTATCCTTCAAGGAAGGCCTAACTCTCTCTTTTTGTGCTCTTACAGTTACTTCACTGCAACCCTCTTCTCCTCTCTCATTGTCATAACTTCTATTACCTACCCTCTCTTTTGCCCCCACCTTTCTCCCTCTTTTTGTTTGGTCAATATCCAAGTCAGATCCTCTTATGCCTTCTCCTGGCTGGTCTATTCCTCCTGTCTCTGGACAGCATTCCTCAACCTTGAGTGTCATTTTATCTCCCAGCTGCATTTTTATCTCCCAACTAAAAATAAAATTTGATTCTCATACTCGACCACTGCAACTCCAAGTTGCCAGGCTTGGTGTTTGCGTGTTCCTCCTCTTTAGAAACTCCTTGAATCCACAATGGCTACTGTCCCCCTTCACATATCAGGGAGGAGAGGGAAGAAACCAACAAGAACCATTCCAGTTGATATAGAGTCCTGCTCTGGTACATTATTTTTACATACCTTGCAGTCTTTGGGGTCTTTCCTCTCTGAATTACTTCAAACAACTCTCCTCAGAACTCTACTCAAAGAAAGCCCCTCCACCTCATATGGCAGTCCCTAAAAGACAAATGGGACTGTGCTCTGGAAACCCCCAAAGTGAATTTTGAGTAGTGCTTATATTATAGGAACGGTCATTGAATTATTATCTGAATTGAAGTAAGTGAGGGTTATTTTACTGATAGATAAAATCTCCATTTCATGATTTTTATTATTTTAAAATTCACTTTTGGCTGTGCATTTCCCAGAGCTCTTCCCAGAGCTTTTAAATTAGTTTTGTACTTTTAAATCATCCACGAAAAAGCAGCACCTTATAATTTCAAGGGGGGGGGGAGACAGTACCCGAATATAAACCGCTCTCTTGAAATTCCACAGGCACTCACAGCCTTAAATGGCAAATATAGAAGAAAATACTATGGGTACCACAGAGGCCCCACAAGGTACTACAGAGGACCCGCAAGTGGGTTAAAAACCTTTTTCGTAGCACCGTAAAAGCAAATAAAAAAATCAATACCCTGTTACCTTGGTTGTCGAACTTAATGTGTTCCAGGAGCCCATTCTGCTTCTGAAACATTCAACAACCAAGGCTCAATGGTCGGCAAGCCCCATTGAGAAAAAAGAGAAACATGATCCAAGGGAAAAGGGAGAGAGTGCACCTCTCCTTGTGTATATATGGCCCGGCAAAGGCAAATGGGAGGAGGGGAGGCTGAGGAGGGGTGGTCCTGCTTGCCCCCAAATCTGTTGCAGGCAGGGGAAATGACTGGGATCCAGGATCATCCAACCTCGTGAAGGGGATGAGTCATTGATGGCAGGGAGGGGAAGGAAGGGCACGCCCCCACGCAGCTCCATGGAATGAGATGGGGCAAATTCCACTTCCAAAATCTGGGAGCCTCCCTCTTGAATTCCTAGCCAGGCTTTTGGACCCCTGCTGCATCCATAAGGAAGATGGAGGGAGGAAGGGATCCAGGTCTGTGCGGTTGTGGGAACTTATGTCCAAAAAGAACCTGTGGTGGCATGGAAGGAGGATTGAGAGGAGATGCCATCTGACACACACCTGCCCCTGCCCCATAATTAAAACTGAAATGGCTAGTGTGGCAAGGCACATTGAGAAAAAAGAGAAACATTTGGAAATGGAAGCAGTTGCTTCCGGGTTGTTAGAGTTCGGGAGCCAAAAGTTTCAGCTTCTGAGATGTTTGGCTTCCAAGGTTCCACTATACTGCACTGTAAAATAAGGTAAAAGCAATGAATGACATTAGAATTAATTGCACAACAGTCTCAAGCTCACAAATTGGCAATAAAACATTTTTTGGTTCCGTTTTACCATATGACTGTTCCAGCAGCAATATTGTAAAAACCAATTTTTATAACGTCGTGAATTTAAGTCACACTTAAAATTTTCATGGTCAGAATTTCGGGGGGGGGGGGACTGCGGCTTATATTTGGGCCAATACGGTAAGTCATAGGGCTCCCTCTTCTGGTGGTTTACCCTTAGTTTGACTCTGTGCAGACGGGCAGGAGTCAAGATATAGTTGGGCTTCAGCAAATGCCTAAGCCGAACCGCTCACATCTGTAACCAATAAAGTTGTTGCCTGTTTTAGTCCCTTAACCTAAATACACGTGTCTCTGTGTTAACAACAACAACAACAACAACTTATTATTTATACCCCACCCATATGGTTGGGTTTCCTCAGCCACTCTGGGCGGCTTCCAACAAAAGATTAAAAATACATTAAAACATCAGCCATTAAAAACTTCCCTAAACAGGGTTTATTAAACAATAGGGAACTACAGGACATGGGGCCTTGGCACGTAAAGCATGAGACTTAATCTCAGGGGTATTGGTTTGAGCCCTATGTTGGGCAAACGATTCCTGCATTGTAGGAGAATGGACTAAATAACTCTTGTGGTGTGGTCCCTTCCAGCTCTACAATTCTAAGATTCCTCAGAAAATCCCCAGAACTCTACTCAAAGACTGCCCTTCCACCTCCTAGGGCAGTGCCTACAGGACAAAAGGGGTTGTGCTCTGGGCACTCTAAAGGGGACTTCAATACTCAAATTATATAAGGGGTCAGTGAATTATAATGTGAATGGAGGTGATTCAGGGTGATTTTGCTGGAAGTTAAAAGCTTCATTTAACTTTTTAGTTTTATTTCTTTAAAAACCAATATGGGATGGGGGCTTCCCGGAGCTCTTTAACACCTTTTTATTGTTATGCTTTTTGGAGGATGGCCCTTTCCAGTAGATATGAAGTGGCTAATGCTATGCTAAGAATATGTGTAAGAAGGAAAACACAGGAATCTCTGAAAGTTGCTATATTTTGCTTCTCCCAGTTCCTCCAGTATAAAATGTTGGTATAACTATTTTGATTAATATGCTCTTTTAAAAAATATGTTTACTGTACAGTTTAATGATTGGTGTTCAGATGACATTGATTTACTGTGCATTGTAATTACATGCGGCTATATCGTATCATGGTGACGCGGGTGGCGCTGTGGGTAAAACCTCAGTGCCTAGGACTTGGTCGGCGGTTTGAATCCCCGCGGCGGGGTGCGCTCCCGCTGCTCGGTCGCAGCGCCTGCCAACCTAGCAGTTTGAAAGCACCCCCGGGTGCAAGTAGATAAATAGGGACCGCTTACCAGCGGGAAGGTAAACGGTGTTTCCGTGTGCGGCTCTGACTCGCCAGAGTAGCTTCGTCATGCTGGCTACGTGACCCGGAAGTGTCTGCGGACAGCGCTGGCTCCCGGCCTCTAGAGTGAGATGAGCGCACAACCCTATAGTCTGTCAAGACTGGCCCGTACGGGCAGGGGTACCTTTACCTTTATATCGTATCATTGGTTTTGTACTTAAGTCATTTGGGCGAATAATGCCAGCACTGATCATGTGTATGTGGATACACATACAAACACATTTTTATAGATATTTGTTCTAAACCATTTAAATGCTTGGGATCCGCACAAGGAGGAATCATCAGAGTTGATAACTGTGCCCTCATTCAAGTTAGGATTCCACTGACCAGTTAAACAGGAATTGTTTTAATCGACCAAAGTGAGAACCAAGTTGAAATGGAATGCATATAAGAATTTAAGGACAGATGTTTGCTCAAGCAAGTAGACATCACCAATTTCTTATAAAATCCCTCCCACCAGCATTTCAAATGAACTGCATACACAAGCAGAAAAAACAAAATATGCACTCATGTTCTTTTACTTTTTTCTGCTGATTAGTTGTTCCCTGGTGTTCAACTCAGGTCTGAATATAATAATGTAGCATTTAGGGGAAAAGATGCAACCCAGTAATCCAGCACCAGACGACAAGATGGAAAAGATCTCCACAGCTACCATATATTTTCCTTTGGTGCTCAGATAAGTGGAAACAAAGGACAACCAAACACTACAAAACACCAGCAGGCTGAAAGTGATAAATTTGGTCTCATTGAAACTGTCAGGTAACTTCCTGGCAAGGAAAGCCAAGATGAAGCTGACAATGGCCAGCAAACCCATATAGACTAAGACACCATAAAACATGGCCACTGAACCCTCATTACATTCAAGTATGATTTCGCCATGCAGTGAGTGCATATCTGTATCTGGGAATGGAGGGGATGTACTTAACCAAAGAGTACCTATGCAAGCCTGAATAAAGGAGCAGAAAAGGACAATAGCATTTGCCAGCCTTTTCCCTATCCATTTCCTCATCCTGGATCCTGGTTTGGTTGCCATGAATGCCAGAAGCACAGTAATGGTTTTTGCCAAAACACTGGAAAGGGCCACAGAAAAGATGATGCTAAAAGTGATTTGTCGGAGAAGGCAGGTCACCTTTCCAGGCTGTCCAATGAAGAGAAAGGAGCAGAGGAAACAAAGCAGGAGGGAGATGAGGAGGATATAGGTGAGAGTCCGATTGTTGGCTTTGACTATGGGAGTGTTATTGTGCTTTATAAAAGTCCCAAGTACTAATGTTGTGATCAGAGAGAAGATAATGGTCAAGATAATGGTCAAGAGTCCTAAATCTTCTTTATAAGAGAGGTAGCTTGGGACCTTGGGAATGCATTGGGTTTGGCCACTCTTGGGATACTCATCTTCTGGACATTTCACACAGGTATCCATATCTAAAATAAAAGAAGATCTCTTTAAATATTTCTGACATTGATCAATATATAGCTAAAGCATTGGTTCTTAAACTTTTCCGGGTTATAGACCTCCTTAAGGATCATAGAAGCTGTATTGCAGGTTATCAAATTGGAGAAAACATATTGGTGAAATTATCCTCAAAATGTAGGTTTGTGTAAAATAAACTCCAAGACTAAGTTTCCACGAGTGCAGGCTTTTCAGTGTTTCTGAGGAACAAATGTTCCACAATGAGTGCTCACATCTGATATTGGATATGCAGAAAGATTATAAAAATCTATTAAATGAAACAATATTAAAAGCACAGTATTATTTTGAAATGCCAGAAGGTGCACTAGGAAAAGGTTATTTTGGATATCGGAAATGGAAAGTTCTTGGAATGACGGTCAGTGACTATGGAACTACCTGGAAAGGCATTGTGGCGTTTGCCCTCCTAGGTGTGTGACATCATACTGGGTTCATAAGGAAAGAGTTAACTAATTGTAAAATGACTAACCAATGGGAACCCAAGCTTGGAGTTAAGAGTTACAGTTAGAGTTGTTGAGAAGACAGTCTGGAGTTAGAAGAGACAGAGAGGATAAGTCTGTGGGTTGGGCTAGTCTGATGTAAGCGAGTGAGAGATTTTGTTAAGAGGAGTCAGTCAATCAGTTGAGATAATCAGTCAGAAGGTATTAGAAAGGTATAGGCCGGTAAAGAAACTAGAGTTAAGATACTAACAGGAATATTATCTGAGAAATCATAAACTTGTTAATGTTTATAAAATAAACTTGTTTTTTTGGTTCACATTTTAACAACTGTCTGGACTCAGTGTTTTACCGGAGAGTAAGGGGTTGGTGGCAGCAGGAAAGTGAGCACAGTGGTGGCACAGGGATCAATAGACCATTCAACGTCCGGGGACCCTTTGTGATCGCCACAGGCATCCTTACACCAACCCTTTGAGGTTGCTTAGACTGAGAGATAGTGATGAACACAAATTTACTCAGTCCCACACTCTTTGAAACTCTTAAAAATTAATAGTTATGTTTTTAATTTTTGTTTAAAATTTTGCATTGCAAGATACCTCCATATGCATTCAAGAGGTTACACTTAATGGTGTAACTCCCACCTTTATACTTAGATATCATCCCTTCTGGACATGGAGTACAATCATAGCAGCAAAATTTCTCTCCTTCCTTCTTTCTCCTACTGTACCCAGGATAGCAGTAGTCATTGCACACAGAAAGTGGAAGCACCTGTACAGAAACACTAAAGAGAGGTTAGTAATGAGAGCATAAGAGATCACACACAAAAGCAGGTTTGGAGAAGAAAGGACAACTCCCAACTTAGAGCAGGGAGGGTTCACCTCTCTGGTGTTGTCTAGTTAAGATTTACGTGTGGAGAGGACTTTGTATGTTTCATTTTCTGTTCCAGTTTTTTGTTTTTGTTTTCATTGGCTAGATTGTGTCCTTGAACTTTTATATTGCCACCTCACTGCAACTACAGAGAGATGTATGTTTGGTAGTGTACATAGAACCTATAGTTTTGAAATAGGTGGATATACCTCCCTAAAATATGGAAATATCTATTAAAATGAAAAGGGTCCATTAAAGTTAATACAGTGATGCCTCGGGTTACATACGCTTCAGGTTACATACGCTTCAGGTTACACACTCCGCTAACCCAAAAATAGTGCTTCAGGTTAAGAACTTTGCTTCAGGATAAGAACAGAAATAGGGCTCCGGCGGCATGGCAGCAGCAGGAGGCCCCGTTAGCTAAAGTGGTGTTTCAGGTTAAGAACAGTTTCAGGTAAAAACGGACCTCCAGAATGAATTAAGTACTTAACCTGAGGAACCACTGTATGTAGCCCCTTAACCCGAAATCTATTCATGAAATAAACAATTTATTTATTAGGGGAGATGTAAAAAGAGCATATAATAGGAATTCATGAAAATTTGAACTAGAATATAATAATTTTTTCACAAAGGTTAATGAAATAATAAAACATCCTGTGGGATTTCACAAAAAATAAAGTTGGAATGTAGTTAGATGCCTTCAAATCCTTTGAAATTTTTAGTGAAAACATTCCACAGAACTGTGTCTCACCTGATTAAAAACTTTATGCCACACAATTTGATCATTATTTATGCTTAACTCTTTTCCTAAAGGTGCACGAGGGTCCAATTTTCCAACTTTGATCCTAAACAACGAACCATTCGGAGAAATAATCCAGTTTGTTACATCAAAACCTGTAACTAATTCTCCATTATAATCAAAACACACTAAAGCCCCAGCACTATTGTTGAACAACATGGTCCTTAGAAAATGATGGACCTAGATAGAAAGAAAGTATCAACAAAGCAACGACTGTTTCAAAATACTTCAACAATGTATGCGGCCACTTCATCTATTGGGCACTCATGTCTTATTATTGAACTGTAAACCTTAAATGATTATTTGATATTTATAATAATCATTATTTTCCATATGCACCAAGTTGGTGGGTGACTATGAACTGAAATAACAATATTTTATCATGGGATCACTACTACTTATCATAATGGATTTCCAAAAGGGGAAAAACCTGAGAGGAAATGCAAACCACCACAGGCACACAAATTGTATCATGCACACTTAGAATTCATTGTGCTTCTTGAAGAACACATAGTTTTTTAAAAAAATGTTTGGTTGTAATTACCTGCCATGATTGCACATTCTGAAAAACAGTTCCTGTCGTTCTCCCAGCTTCCTACCTTTGGAACTGGATTTGTAAACGGCTTGCAAAGCATGAGCCACAGCATAGACAGCATTGTAGACATTGTAGCTGTGGCCAGTCATTTCCATTTCAAACAAGGTCCCAGGAAGACTCTCCACCTTCTCTCCTCCAGAGCAGTATTTCCTTTCCTGATGATGCCCATTAGCCATTTGTAATGAACAGTTGAATGCCTGTTCCCAAAAGTCCTGGATAAAACCGTCTCCTTGGGCCCATGAAGGTCTTAGCATCTGAAGGAAATTTTGGAATCCCAATGGCTGATCTGAGTGAAGTGTGAAGGATATGGAACCATGGAAGGTTTGTAAATCCCAAATCTTTTGAATAGAGTGTGATGCAAAATCCCAGTGGGATGTAATAATCCACACTTTACCCAGAGGGGGCAAGTTCACCAAGGGTATAACAAAAAATAGTGTTCTTAGAACTTGAAAGGATGGAGGTTCCCCATATACAAAGAATACATTGGCTTTTGTTTCAAACATAATGAGATAGGTATCCATGTTCTTTAAAAACCAGTCTAGCATCTCATCCATATAACTCCATTTTGGTATGTTTACTATGAAGTCATAACAGATGCCATTCTGGGTAAGCATTGGCACTATTGTCTGTAAAAACCTGTTCCCTTTGTCATCATCCACTGCAAAAAGCCCGACCCAGGTCCATCTGAAATGCTGAAGTAACTGCACAATTCCCCTGTGCTGCTGGGCTTCATTGGGGACCATCTGGTACAAGAATGGGAATAGCATTCTTGTACTTTGTAAGGGTAAAAAAGATCCATAAGTGAGCTGTAATAAAATCCATGAATATTTCTCAGATGGATTACAAGAGAATAGTAAATCAATATGTTTCAGTTGGTCCTGTAAGCAATCTAGTTCAATATCCTTTTGAAAGCCAGAATCACAGTTTCTGCAACAAATGGCTGTTTGATTTGTCCTATCATTGAAGTAATTTTACTTCAGTTGTTGAATCTTAAACAAGTACCACATTTGGGGCAGCACAAAATGAATCTTTGACCTCTTCTGTGTGGCAACTGTTTAAGTCTTTGAAGTGTTTTGCAATGTTGCACCTTGAACTCATTTTCAAGAGACGCATTTCTTTCACCCTTTCCTATATGATATGCTTTCCATATTCTGGCCATATTTACTGGCCTCCTATTAACCCATTTTGAAATTAATGCATTCTTATTTAAGTGTGCCAATTAGGACGGGAAACAGTATTCAACATGTGGCCTTAACTAGTGCAAAAGGAAGCATAATTGAAATTTTTGGAGATTTGAAAACAATGGGTTGTATCCAGTTAAATGTACATCCAGTTAGTTGTGTTGAATAATTTGACTGAGTTCATTTTAAGAATATTAGTATTGAATCCAGCTCCTTGGTTCTTTCAATTCAGCCTAAACTTTAATTTATCTGTTTACAGGCACATCACAAAGCTCACATATATCTAATGTTCATACCCCTATGCACATAGATTACCTGTGGAGTCTTGTAAATTGCTGAAACGGTGGCCACATTGGCAGAGATTCCAGAGAGGCATCCTCCAACAATAGCTATCAGTTTGTTCTGATTTTGACACTTGAAGTTAGGAGAAAATCTTTGCTGTTTTGAAAGCAGGCTTAGAGTGGCCTTATAGGTCATCCTAGCAGAGTAGTAGCTATTGAGAATGTGGAATCCCAGAGAAATGTTTGGTAAGATGTTGGGGTTCTCATTTATCTCTTTTACAGCAAAGGCTAAGGCCAGGATGTGCTGGTAGTTCTTGGGCACTGAACTGTAATGTAGGTTACAGCTATTTAATAAAACAACAGTGACAAAAGCAATAAAAACACATTTGTATTCTTCATTTGTCATCTGTTTGTGTTCAAGTCTGCAGTGAAACTGCTACCCTTAGAAGAAAACAAACTCAAACTCAAAGTAAAAGTAAAATGAAAATGAAATATCATGTGTGGGGTAAAGATGGAGGTGAAGGATGAGGGAGCAAAAAGTCTTGAAAAATAACAATTAGTCTGCCCCAAAAATGCATAACAGCATATTTCATGATGAGGTAACTCTGCAGAGGAAAAGAGAAATGCCCTAGATCCATTCATTTCACTGTCACTTGGGAGGGAAAGCTTATTAATGCCTTGTGCTTAGCAATGTTATCAGGAAGGTAAAATATTTATTAACAACTCCCAGCATTGACAAAATATCATTTTTTAAAACACCCACCATAAATAAATGCAATATTCCTCAAATATGTGCTCCTTGTAATTAGGGTCTGAACATATTACAAAAAAGTGAGGGGAGAGGAGGAGGGAGATGGTATCTTACATAGGTTCATGAGTCACAATATGTGTAGGCTGCTCCAAGAGAGAAAGTAAATCATAGAGATAGAAGACTTGAGAAACAATCCCACCAATCACAAAGTCCCCTGGCTGGAAAAATTCATGAGGAATAGAGAGCAGATCATCACGAATGCTGCAATTAATAACATGTGACTTGCATACAACATGACACAGCAGTATAAGCAGCAACACCACCAACGTCATGATCCTGTTGGCAAAACCACCCATTCAAATGCTGGTTTTGAAAGTCTCCATGGCTACAGCCACAACTGAAGGGTGGATAATACTCTGGCTGCAGAGATTTACAACTTTGTCTGTTATGGATGTGGGTGCCAGTACCAATTTTTTCTAGTTCAGGGTTTCTAAAATTGCTGTTTGTGGACTACCAGTGGTGTGCATGCTTCGTTCAGGCTGTCCACAGCATGTCTGTAACAAATAATTATTATCTGAATTCTATAGAATTCAAGCTGGAATACAATAAAATAGAGATTTCAAAATAAAAGAAGTGGCCCATGCTTGGGGGGGGGTGGTCTACTGTCCTAGTTATATTGTTCCTCTGTTTTTCGCTTTGAGGTGGGTCAAGAATAAGTTAGTGGAATGTGACTCCCACTGATATTGGTGGGTCTCATGCAATCTAGATCCTAGTCTCCTTCCTTTACTTTGATGGTGGTGGGTTTTTGTTTTTTAAGGAAAAACATATCTGCTTGTGGAAATATATCCTAACATATAAGTGAGAGATTTTTAACAGAAGAGTGACAGAGCCCTGCCTCTACCTAGATCTAATTCTGAAGAATACAAGTGTTTTATAGCTTTTCTTCAGACACTTGCTAACATGTGCTGAATGTCAATTGCATAAACCAGCAATTTTGACAGGTGTGATTATCATTCCCCAGTGTGTTGTTGACTTTTGAAGTTCTATCATGCATAACAAAACTGTTAGAAGATTCCCTCCCTTCTTTTTCTCTGAATCATACACAGATTATTTTTTCCCTTTGACGGAAAATAAGTAGCTAGCCTTGTATAGCTGGTAGATCCAGATCTGACCAGGACCAAGGTCAGCTTCATCCATGGGTCATTCATATTTGAGATAACTGGAAAGCCTGGTCTGGGGAAAGTGAGAGTCACAATTTGTTGTGCTGATAGATACAGTTCTCTTAACAGATCATTTCTAACTATTGTTTGACCCATTTCCTTTTACTGGTATTTAATTTAATTAATAAGATTCTTTATTAATGCAGTACTTAAAATGTTCGTGATGTTAACTTAAAGCGGGGGAGTTGTGCATTCCTCTTCTCTATCAATGCCTTGCACCTATCATGGCTGCTCTACCCTTCACATGGCAGGGAGGAGAAGGAAGGTGAATCATTCCAACTGAAATAACGTCTGGCCCCTACATCCTTTGAAGTCTTTGGGGTTTCTTTCCTCTCTGAATTACTTCTCCTGAGAAAATCCCAGAACTCTACTTAAAGAAAGTTCTTCCACCTCATATGGCAATATGTAAAGGGCAAATGTGATTGTGCTCTGGATACGCCAAAGAAGATTTTGAGTACAGCTCATATTATAGGAACTGTCACTGAATTTTGATGTCAATTGAAGCGATTAATGGTTATTTTACTAAAATATAAACAATGCATTTCATGATTGTTATTATTTGTAAATTCACTATGGGTTGTGGGCTTCCCAGAGCTCTTCCCAGAGCTTTTTAATTGATTTTGTACTTTTAAATCACTTAAAAGTCATTTGAGCCACTGATCATATGTATGTGAACACACACACACAGACACAGTAGTTTCCTCTGGGGGGACGCAGGGGGACGCATCTCCCTAAACATTTTGTGAATCTAAGCTTGGCCTCATTGAGGGGCAGTATTTCACTATGAGTAGAAAAATGAGAGTACCCCTAAACATTTCACACAGGCAGAGCGAGAGAGAGAGAGAGAGAGAGAGAGATTTGTTCCTAGTAATTTAAATGTTTGGGACCAGCACAAAAATGAATCATACGAGTTTGAAAATTACATACACATTCCATCTAGGATTCAAATGCAAGGGATGCTAGCAAACTTAAGTGAGAAGCAAATATAAATGCAATGTTTCTGGCCAAACTCTGCATACAAGAATTTAAGGACAGATGTTTGCTTAAGCAAGGACCCATGACCGAATTCTTATGACATCCCTCCCACCAGCATTTCCAATGAACTACATACACAAACAAACAAAAAACAGATGCATTCATGTTCATGTTACTTTTTTCTGCTGATTAGTATTTCCCTGGTGTTAAGCTCAGGTCTGAATATAATAATGTAGCATTTTGGGGAAAAGATGCAAGCCAGTAATCCAGCACCAGAAGACAAGATGGAAAAGATCTCCACAGCTACCATGTATTTTCCTTTGGTGCTCAGATAGGTGGGAACAAAGGACAACCAAACACTACAAAACACCACCAAGCTGAAAGTAATAAATTTGGCTTCATTGAAAGTGTCAGGTAGCTTCCTGGCAAGGAAAGCCAAGATGAAGCTGACAATGGCCAGCAAACCCATATAGACTAAGACACCATAAAACATGGCCACTGAACCCTCATTACATTCAAGTATGATTTCCCCATGCAGCGAGTGCATATCGGTATCTGGGAATGGAGGGGATGTACTTAACCAAAGAGTACCAAGGGAAGCCTGAATAAAGGAGCAGAAAAGGACAATAGAATTTGCCAGCCTTTTCCCTATCCATTTCCTCATCCTGGATCCTGGTTTGGTTGCCATGAATGCCAGAAGCACAGTAATGGTTTCTGCCAAAACACTGGAAAGGGCCAAGAAAAGATGATGCTAAAAGTGATTTGTCAGAGAAGGCAGGTCACCTTTCCAGGCTGTCCAATGAAGAGAAAGGAGCAGAGGAAACAAAGCAGGAGGGAGAGGAGGAGGATGGAGGTGAGAGTCCGATTGTTGACTTTGGCTATGTGAGTGTTATTGTGCTTCATAAAAGTCCCAAGTACTAATGTTGTGATCAGAGAGAAAGAAGTAGTCAAGATAACTAAGATGAGCCCTAAATCTTCTTCATAAGAGAGGTAGCTTGGGACCTTGGGAATGCATTGGGTTTGGTCATGGTTGGGATACTCATCTTCTGGACATTTCACACAGGCAGCCATATCTGAAATAAAGGAAGAGCTGTTTAAATATTTTGGACATTGACCAATATATAGCTAAAGCATTGGTTCTTAACTTTTTTTTGGGGGGGGGTGTCACAGAACTCTGATAATGTCATGATGATTTTTTCCTCTGGGAAAAAAAATGCACAGAAAGACTTAAACAGAAAATTTGAAATAAATTTAATCGATTAATTTAATTTAATTTAATTTAATTTAATTTCCCCACATAGACATATTCTAAATACAATCTTCACAATGTTTCATGTTGTTTCATGAAACAGTAAAACATTAGGTTGTTTTGCTATGCTGACTATTCTGTTCTTTGTTAAAAAAATTAACATAAGGCAGGTGGGGGGGGTGTTTCCTGACCAAAGAAGCTGATACTCTAAATGTTGTATATTTTATGTACCTGGGAGTAGACTGCATAATATGAATTTCAGAGTCCTGCAAATATATGTTCCATGTATTTTAACTTAGTCTAGTGACTAGCAAAGGATCTGCTACATTTTAAACCAATTACATATATATGCTTTGCTGGCTGTGATTCTTTGTTCTGCTCCCTGTGGGCAGGGAAGGTCCACAGAAGTTATATTACAGGAATTTAATTTTGAGGTTGCCAATGCATAGATCTCAGTATCTAGGCTATTGGAATAGTCATATCCAGTTTGCCAGATGAAGAAGGTTTAAGGTGTTGCTTGCTGCTTACATCACTTGGGCTTCCCATTAAAGAGAAGGATCTACAACATCCCTAGATTTTGTACCTGTTACTTCAGAAGGAGTACAACCCCCCCAAGAACAGGTAAATCTCCCAACCTCTAAACTTGGGAACTGACCAACCACCATGCCATTGCCCTACCAGCATTTAACTCATGGGTAAGCAAACTAAGGCTCGAGGGCCAAATCCGGCCCAATTTCCTTCTAAATCTGGCCCGCAGACAATCCAGGAATCAGCGTGTTTTTACATGAGTAGAATGTGTCCTTTTATTTAAAATGCATCTCTGGGTTATTTGTGGGGCATAGGAATTTGTTCATTTTTTTTCTTTTTCAAAATATAGTCCAGCCACCCACAAGGTCTGAGGGACAGTGGAACGCCCCCCTACTGAAAAAAATTGCTGACCCCTGATTTAACTTCTGACATTTGGCCTTCAGTTAGCCCACCACTGTAGCCAGATAACTTTTTGGGTTGGTCACTGGTGACTGCTGACTTTGATGTAACAGTGGAATAGAGCTGAGTTCCAGCAATATACTGATGACTCCTTTCCCAATATACTTTCTCGCTCCCAACCTTACTTAGTACTCCCTGACTGGTGGAAGCTTACAAAACTAGTACTGGATAATTGTATAGTATCCCTGTCCAGTGCCGGATTTACGTATAAGCTATA